GGTTGCAGAAGCATTTCATACATGCACAAGAGCTGCTGGGTCAAAAAGTCACTTAACTGGTCTAAACTCTTGTTCATCCTTCAGCATGAAGCTCAGCAAGAGCAAATCCCAGCTCACTTAGGCATTTATGGGCAATCCACATCCTCACCCTGAACACCTTGTAGGAGGTTGTTTGCAGGTGTTTTAAAACAAAGAGAAAGGAAGAGAAACAATTAGAAAGTACAGCAGAGAGGAAAAAAAGACAAGACCAGAGACAAAAGAAAAGGCCTGGCATGGTGTAAATGCACATACCTTTGAACCTATTTGATAAGAGACTGCTTTTTCCACAGACAACAGCTACAACAGTTGCTTTCCAGTGAACTGCTCAAGGGGAATTCTGTCATTTGGAGGCTCATGGCAGCCTGGCCTTCAAGGAAGGCTCTCAACTCTGGACTATAGTTTGTCAGCCTGGCTGACAAAGCCTGGAAGTTTGAAAAACAGCACAAATCTCAATTCTTCTACGTGAACATACACCTGAGGTTGCACAGGGCGTCTTGCTGTTTTAAAATTCATCATTTTTTTATTTGTTTGCTTAAAACATGACAAACTGTATCCAGGTTCTCACATATGGTAAACAGAAATCATTTCAGAAATAATGCAACAAGCAAGAATTGAAGTTTGTACACCTAATTTTCCTGTTGATGCTTTAACCCTCGTTGTAATTTCATTTCCTCCTTTTCCACACTTTCTGGTCTTTGAACTACCAAGTGCAGGACTGTTGCAATACTTTTCATTGATTTGTATTTACTTTTTAGTTAAAATTAACTGTAGCAGCTTTAAAAGGTTCTGGAAAAGTGCTTTCTAACAGAGACTGATTCCATGTTCCACACCTATCCAAAACTACCCACTTACTTTGTGAACTTATAATTCACGAACAGTGAAGAATTTGGCTTTTAGGGATCCAACTGTTTTTCCCCTTCCACTTCATACTGAATTGTTAAGTCATGACAGGGCTGCTGGCATAGAAAGGTTTACAATATAAATGGCTCGTTCAAAACACATTTCTTCACGCTGTCCTTAGGTCAGCTAATCACTATTGGTAAGGCTTAGAGTCATTTGGGAAGGGAAGAAAAAATCCAAACAAACAATAGAATCTCTTTGGCACAAGCACACATCAAACTGGAAACAACAGTTTGTACTTCATCCAAACTCCACAAACAATTCTCTTTATCCAAGTCTTAGGATGGTATTATTGGAAGCAAGTTAAAAAAAAACAAACAGGTATAAAAGTTCTGGCCATGGCATACAGACTGAATTTAAAAAAAATAAATCAGTAAGCAAACAAAACAGGAGACATTTTCCCCATATTAATAAAGAAAGTTTAACGTAAGAACTGAACATGTTTTCAGACTCCTATAAGAAAATTAAGTTTAATTTTAGATATCACTACTTTAAAACCAAGTCAGGACATAAGCTAGGCAAGCTGATAAGTAGAAAAACACAATGTTGTCTTTCCTAAAAAAAAAAAGTGTGTACAAAATTCAGCATCTGAGAGAAATAGGTTCTCATTTCAATTTGTGAAGGAGCTGTGCAGACTGAAGCCACGCTTGTACAGATTTACACACATACCTCACTTCTTGCAGAACAAGTAGGTTCTGGCTTCAGGGATGCTATCCTGTACATAAACGTTGTTTTATATGCTTTATATGATTAGGGTCTATGGGCCAGATCCAAATTGATGTCTGGGCACTGAAAAAAGACTTAAGCTAGACAGCCCAGCAAAAAGAGGGCGTTCCCCCTGGATGGGGGTGTCCTGAGTTCTGGTTCCTACTCTTATGACTTTTATGCATTTTAACATTAAACAGTCATTGGTTAAAAAACAAAAATACCCTATCTCCCCTCCACTCTGCCAGTAGGGGCCAGAACCTAGACACCATAGTCTAGTGGTCAGTGGTTTTCCTGAGAATTGGGCGATGTGGGTTTGAGCTCCCCCAGCAGGTTTGATCCTTGAACCCAGGGCTCTGGCTTTCTGGGAAAGCATTCTTGCTACTCAAGTACTGGACAAAAGGCAGGCATCACCAACTATGCTTAACAGGTCCTGTGCTTTAAGGTAAAGTCTGCCATCAGGCAGCCTGGCTTTTTTATGCAACTCCTTTCTGAGCAGTGATACAAATGAAGTGCCTCCTTTGCAGCCAAGCTCTGAGGAGGAAAAGACAGACATCTGATCCCTAACATTTCCTTTTGGCTACATTCAGGCACCTTTTCCTGAGGGACTGACCTGAATTGCCACTGGGAGGCACCTACATCTCTCCCTTGCCTGTACAAGAAACATAGGGGGTTAAACCCTATCTATTCAGATCACTCTCCTAGGGCAGAGTGCCTACCAGATAGATTTGGATCTGGCTTTACAGTGCAACAGAGATGCTTACGTATCACTTAACAAGGAACTGAAATGGCTAGTTAATCAGGAGTGGAGGGCAAAGATTAAATTCCATAGGCAGCTCTGACAAAAAGCCGACGAAAACAGCAAAATGCTTTTCTGGAACGAGGCCCAGAATCTAGTCTTTGCCATGAACCATTCATGAATACTGTGGCTGTAAATCTTCACAATACAGGAAGTTTTCGATTTAGAGTGATATCATCAGGTTGTTACATTTTGACAGAATTTTTCTAAGATTAGTTTTGCAGGCAAAGTGGGGGGGGGAGGTGAAAGGTGGGGGTCAAAGTTCTTAGTGGGAAAAAGCATGGTTAAAGTTTAACCACTAGTTTTGGTTCTGTTTGGCACTCCTATTAAACCAATTCCATGGGCTTCTGCCTTTAGAATACTCAATAAATTCAGACTAAAATAAAGCTAATTACTGGTTATAGTAAAAGGGACAAATTCAATTAATCTAATTGTTTATATTGCATAGTGTATGAATGTTTGGAGATTTTTGCATGTCAGAGCTAAAACCCTGACATTTTTATATAGTTGACTGTTATGTATAAGAAACAAAACCCTTGTGATATTACACATAAATTACCTTTTCTTGATAAATCCCTTTTACAAAAATGGCGGCGTATCACACTGTTTTAGCAATCCTTTATTGAAGATAACAAGTTGGTTATGTTCACTGTATTGTATGAAACATCACAATATCATACTGGGAAGGTACTATCAGTACAGGGTTGGACCAGAGCAGACAGTCTGAACAATAAACCATTTTGCATTCTTCATTCCCTATCTTTAACAACCTCAAAAACCCAGTAAAAGGGACAAATACCTGTTAACATCATCATTTAGAACACTTTAACTTACAAGGCTAAAATCTAATGAATAAATAAAATATTCTGTGGCGATAATCCTCTCTAGACCAAAAAGAAATCAGATACACAATGAATCAAAGTGACTGGGAAAGCTGGCCATAGGCACCAGTATGTAAGTGTGTGTGTGGGTTTACAGACTCACCAAGGGGATAAAGTTACAGAAAAATACCATGAATTCCATTTCACACAAAACCAGCTGATGACTGTCATTAGCTTAAACTACACACAAGGGCAATTATATCCTTGCTGAAACACAGTTTAAACAAATAGGAAAATGTTTACAAGGCATCCACAGCATGTAAATCATGTACAGATGGATACATTCATTGTTTCCCCTCCCCAATAGCTTTTTTTTTTTTTTTAGATAAATACTTTACTCTTCTCCATTTCCAGCATTTACTGGATTCATTACATGCACAACTCAAAAGAAGTCAGAAAAAAAAAATCAAGGTTATTGCAAAAATAGAATTAAACTAAGAATCTTCAAGTACCTTACATGACAGCCACTCTGTACCATGCCCAATGCTTATAAAATGAAAGGTCATTGAACCCATGAAAATATCTCTATTTTCTTAATTTAAAATAGATAATTTTAACTGTATTTATAGTAATCTCAAAGTGATAATTTGAGCTTTGAAAATAATGCAAACAATTAAAAATTATACCCATATTACACAAGACTTATGTCTGTATCTTAAGCTGAAAAAAAATCAGAAAACTATAGAAAACCACATGTAGAACAAAATCACAATTTACATTATAATAAAGGCAAATATTCAGCATCTTTAAAAAAAAAACAACCCTGCAGCAGTGAGTGATGTCAAAGCAAATTGCAACTAACCATAAATTAATCAGTTTGGTTTTTTAAAAGATTTTTTCCTAGCGATAGTTTAAGGATGTGTTGTACACATGCGTAAAATTCTTACTGTTTTCAGATGCCTAGATTCTTCTTATATTATTGCCAAATACACTTATCTGCAAGCAAGCAGTAGGCAACATATCACAATTTGGACACTGGAGGGAAACCTAACAGTCTGGTAACACAGGTAAAACTGGAAAAATAAAAAATAAAAGAAAAAAGGAAAAGGAAATAAAGAAAAAAAGAAAAGAAACCACACACATTCTATAGCATATTGCCCACTTGAAGTTACTTCCAAGCCACAGAGCTGCAAAATCCTTCCAACTCGGTAAAGTGAAGTAAGTAAATGTCTCATACAATTATTTGTACTCTTTCATGCTTATATGCTGTAAGTTTAGTTAAACCATAATGTCTCTTCAGAGTACAGCTACAGTCCCATGCACCTCAGGTACATATTGATCTGCTGAAAGAATCACTC